TAACCCCCCCCACCCCCCCAGAGCTTTCACAACCACTTCTGCCTTAGGACAACATCATCCATCACAGATCTCCTCGGATAATCAATTGTATTTATTTTTCACTGTTGAACGAATGGGGTTCACGTGTAATAATGGGGTTCTAGTCCAACCCCTCCGAAACTTAGTCGGGGTGGGACACTGCAGCGTCACACACTAGCTGTAGGACAGAGAGCGGACCAGTCACATGACCAGTGATTTTCAGTCCGCTACCCTGCAAGGATTCCCTCTCTGCAGCACTGATTTCATACAGTCAGCGGCACTCACAGCTGTTGGTTTTTGCTGTCAGCAGACTTCAGGGTTGTGGACATTTTTTTACAAAACTACTTGTCCAAGGACTAAAGCGGGGGCCCGATCTACTTGTCCCTCATGGAAATCTACTTGTCCTGATACAAAAATATAATTTCAACCAAAACCGTATTTAGCAGTGCTAAGAAGCGCTTCTCATTGGACAGCACCATCAGTGTGCTTGCAACTTGCGAGTGAAATTCAGAATACATGGCACATGTACAGATAGTACTGGTGGACGGGAAGGACCGTTTGCTGGAAGGTAAGTATAGCGGGAAGGAGAGGGGACCAGATTTGTGCAGGTGATTCCATTTTCCTAAATGACTTGGGAAAGTGAATTTGCCCTTTAGGGCTGGTGCAGACTTGGGCAATAGCGTGACGCGCGTGATCGTATGCAGTTTCATCCGCGTAGCGATCACTTAAAAAAAGGTTCATTTTTTTTAGCAACACACACTGCACGGTGTTTTCCATCGTGAGCGACAGTCTGTCACCGCTCTACACGCCCCAAACCCCCCACTCTGTCACCACTCCATGCAGCCCACCCCACTCCCCCGCTCCGCTCTCACCGTTCCACGACCACCACTCTCACTGCTCCGTTGAAAAAAAATCAGCCCTGCTACTTGCCCGCAGCAGGGCTAACATACTGAAGGAAAAAAACACTACATGTCCTGGGTGTCCGGGGATACGAATTCCACACCCCTGGACTTGGAGGTCGGTGTGATCTCTACTTTCTTTGCTGGTCCTAGAGCCATACAAGTCGCATCCCTTTGACCTATTAGAGGTCTGAGAGGGCTCACAGACCTGACGCTAGTAGAATCCATTGCACATGCCACCACTTTGTAGATAATATGGAAAGAAGAGGTTTTCTCTCTCTGGTGATTTTATAGCACACAGCCACGAGCAACAGTTCATCCTTATGGTGGGAGGTGTCATGAAAATGATCTAAGTCAATGGTTACAATAGACCCCCTGCTAATGCTTTCCAATTCTCATTAGGTATGATCGACACTCCCGGTTCTCAGGATAACAGCAGTCTTCGCTCTCTCATCGAAAAGCCTCCAATTTGTGGAAATTCCTTCACACCTTTAACCGGAGCCCTGCTGACTGGATTCCGACTTCACGCCGGCCCGGTGAGACTTCTCTATATGTACTGCTAGGCTTTTATTCATGGATATACTTGCAGCAGCCTTCACAACCCTTGTCACAATCGAATGGCTGCATACCGAAAAACCGACTTTTATTCAGCTCCCGCCATGCCGCACAGTCCCTACATACTATCCCATTAACACGTTTCACCCTGGATCAGGCCTAGTTGTAGAGATTCTACTGTGTGGCATGGCAGGAGAAATAAACAAAGCACACCAAGATTTAGGTAAGATTACACATGACTCTGGTATTTAACCACTTAAATAGCGGGTTCACGTAAATACACATCATCTGCTGGAAGTGGTTATACCAAGAACACGGGGGCTGCAGCCATGTTCTTGGTACCGTTTTAAACAGCCAGCGATTGTTTAAAGTAGAACTATGGGGTTAAGTCTTTTCCCCATAGTTCTCCTTAGGGTAACGGGAGGACACAAACTAGCATCCTCCCATCACCCTAGGCTCAGTATACCGCGAGCTGTAGCACACGGTATACTGAGACGCCGCAGCTGAAGCGGATCCCGACAATTGTGCCGGGATCCGCCCATCTACGTGACTGACAGCTGGCTCTGCCTATCTAAAGGCAGAGCCAGCTGTACCCGCCCCCTCTCCCGTCCGTTCCACCAGTCAGCGCTGGCGGATCGGAACGGGGAGGGGGGAATCCAGCCCCTCCCCGTCATGGCAGAGAGCCGTGACAGGATCGAGAGGTGAGCGAGCGCCGGTATGTGTTTTGCTCACCTCCCGATCTACTGAGCCGACCTGTGACAGTCTCATTGTCACAGGTCGGCTAGAACTATGAGGTGAGTGGAAATCACTCACCTTATAGTTCTCCTTTTTAAATACAAGCAATCCGGCGTCTGTACAGGTGCCGGATCGTCCCTTTCGGCCACCGCCTGCTTCCCGGGGTCCGCTGTCCCCCGTGTGAGCCCTGGAACGGCGTGGTGTGCCTCCCCTGATAGATCAGAGGGAGATTAGCGGGCTTCCAGCCGCTGACCTCTCCTCCGATCGCTGGACCCGGGAAGTGATGTGCATTACATCACTTTCGGTGTCTAGGCACATTCTCTGGCTCCTAGAAGAAGAAGAAGCTGGTGAAGCAGATCTCGGCTTCTTTGGTGTCCCTAGGTGACATTAAGGGTCTGAAAGACCACTGATGTCTCCATAAAGAGGACGTGTCACATATTTGCTATTATAAAGGGTGCTTGTTAGCCCCTATGTGATGGCAATAAAGTTGAGTGTAAAAAAAAATAATAAAGTCCACCGCCCCCATGTGCAAGAACGAAAATCGAGCCACGCATGTTACATATTGTTGCGAGCGTCAGAGTGAGAGCAATCATTCTAGGCCCATCAATCACTGTTAACACTTAAACTGATGAGCCGTACAAGTGTTTAAAGCGTCGCCTATAGGAAATTTTGGTTATTGTATTTTATTTTTTTTGTGGTTTCATGGTTGCACGCAATTTTAAGGCTTGACATGTGTGGTATCTATTTACCCGACGTGACCCTGTCTTTTATATTTTACCAAAAAATTGGGTGTTGTATTATATTTCTGTGCACTAAATTTCATTTTAGTGTATTTTATCCTAAAAATACTTGTTTGATAAACATTTGCGCAAATACAGTGTGACATAAAAAAAATTGCAGCTAGCATCTTTTTATTCTACAGGGCCTCTGCTTTCAGAAAATATACAATTATTTGGGGCTCTGAAGCTGTTTTTCTAGCCAGAAATTCTGATTGTATCATGTATGTGCAACTGTAAGAAATTGCTCCGGGCAGCGAGTGGTTAAATAATATCCGCTTATCCCGGAGTTCATCTTTATGCATCCCGCCATTTCATTACACTCATTTCCTGTATATTTTTTCCTTTTTAGCTTCCAGAACAATGTCGACTGATGCACATACAACCGCCAAAGAAGAAAAACAAAAAGCACAAACAGAGCAGAACACAAGAGCCAGCCCCCCCAGGTCAGTATAGAGCATGGAGCAGGTAATGCGCAGGACTGCACTAGTGACGTCACTGACCCGTTGTCTCTTTCCGTGTCACAGAAACCCCGTCAGACTCTGATCACAGGAAAAAGAAGAAGAAACAGAGGGAAGACGACCCAGAAAGAAGGCGGAAGAAGAAAGACAAAAAGAAAAAGAAGGTGAGAACAAGGCCTGAGTGTTGGAGCTGAACTCCAGGCAGTAGTCCCTCCAGTCCCCTTTGCAAGGGTTAGGTCTAGGGGGTGGAGGAATAAGCTGTATTCCGTACCCTCGCTACGGCAGGCTTCCATCATGCTGTGCCATCGGCCCCCTGAAGCTTCTCTAGGGTGCTCCCATCTGGTGGTTGCGCTCTGACCTCATCAAATACACTACAAGACCGATAATCCTTGCATTGTACGTGAGGACAGTGAGGGAACTCGTCATGGTTACAAAAATAAAAAAATGGCCCTGCAAGGGATAAAGTGCATTAAACCTACAGGTAGAGGAGTACAATGTAATACTTCCTTTACTCCTCGCTTTAGCTCCCTCCTCTTCTCTCAGGCCCTCCAAGTTGTGGTGGGCAGGAATCCTCCGCTCCTGTCACTGGCTCTTGGCCTTCCCCCAAAAGTCTGTCGATAGTTTGTCAAACTTCAACCAGCATATACTAATGGTGTTCTGTGCCGGGGGTCTTATCTCTGAAATAACTGCACATATGAAGGGGTGCAGTCTCTGTTATTATCCTTTTGTGATGATAGGAAATGCAGGACCTGCTCCTCGGCAAGCATTTTGTAATATTTCAGCCATGGCACATAGGAGCAGACACCCTGGGCTCCGCTCTTGTGCTCCTGTTTTGTTTCTTTCATGCAACGTGTGAACTAATGAGAATTATTTATTTCTTTTATAGAGCCGCCACAGTCCTGAGCACCCAGGCGCAGGAAGTTCGCAAAGTGGATTGCGCTGAGCGTTCGCCTTCATTTGTACATATTGTCTTTTTTTTATAGCGTTAGTTCTTTTTAATAAAGCTCCTACCTTTCCCACCTTTAAAGTTTTTTCTGTATGTTTTTTTTTTTTTTTTTTTTAAATTTAATTTATTCCATTTTCAATTACGTTCTAAATTTTAATGCATACATATATGTTGTTTGAAAATGTTTTAAAGAAGTATCGCCATCATTTTTTATCATTGGGGAGTCAAGCAGGGGGACCAAGTTATTGAAGCACTTGGTCACCTTCTGATCTATAGCTGCAGTGTGCAGTAAAAGGACATAGTTTGATGGTGGCTTCACCCCAGGCTGATGCCAATTTATGGGTGTTTTTATAGGGAGCTACAGCACAGCCCTGTAACCACCACCCCCGTTCCAAAGCCATGCGCTTTTAATCAAACTGGCTTTATATTAGGTATGATGAGCAATGGCACAGAGTTTGTCTCTCTATACATGGGGCTCTGTGTTGGATGGGAGTGGATCGAGGCTGGACTTGCAGTATATATGGGGCTTTGTGCTGGATGGGAGTGGATTGGGGCTGGTCTCGCAGTATACATGGGGCTCTGTGTTGGATGGGAGGGAATCGGGGCTGGACTCGCAGTATACATGGGGCTCTGTGTTGGATGGGAGTGGATCGAGGCTGGACTCGCAGTATACATGGGGCTCTGTGTTGGATCAGAGTGGATCGAGGCTGGGCTCGCAGGATACGTGGGACTTTGTTTGGATGGGAGTGGATCGAGGCTGGACTCGCAGTATACATGGGGCTCTGTGTTGGATCAGAGTGGATCGAGGCTGGACTCGCAGTATACATGGGGCTCTGTGTTGGATGGGAGTGGATCGAGGCTGGACTCGCAGTATACATGGGGCTCTGTGTTGGATCAGAGTGGATCGAGGCTGGACTCGCAGTATACGTGGGACTTTGTGTTGGATGGGAGTGGATCGGGGCTGGACTCGCAGTATACGTGGGACTTTGTGTTGGATGGGAGGGGATCGGGGCTGCACTCGCAGTATACGCGGGGCTTTGTGTTGGATGGGAGGGGATCGGGGTTAGACTCACGATTGTCTCTCTAAAGCAGGGGTCTCAAACTTGATTAACTCGGGGGGCCACTGGGCAATTTTTTTTTTCCCCATGGGGGCCGCTTGACAAATTTCATACTTTACACACAGATACACCCACATAGGAATAAGCACAATCCCCCACAACCAGAACTACAAACACTAATATACACACAATAAGGCCCCATTTACACCTGGGTGCGATTTAGGGATTCCTGCAGCAGGAATCCCTAATGTGTTTACAAGTGGCAGCTGTCACCTATTCAAGTTTAATAAGCGGGTGACAACCGCTGCATGTAAATGCCAGCACACTGCATGTAATGGTGTGTGATATAATAACATGTAGTTAGGATTCTCTGCCCCCCCCCCCACATAAGACAATATACTCCCCCCACACAAAAATAGAAGCCCCCCTCACCTGCTATGTTTTTGCAGGGAGGAAGCTGTGAAGAGGCACCACATAATTCCAGGGTGATCTAGTTGGTGATTGGTAAGGTCTGGTGTAGACCTTACCAATCCATAATTTCTCTGTTCCTTTCGGCTGGAGCTCAGAGCTCCAGCCGAAAGGAACAAGAAAGCACAGCCGGCAGCAGCTATGCAGTCTGCATCTGACAAATGCAGACCGTGTAGCTGCTCAGGCAAGTCAGGTACGTGTCGCGTACCCGACTTGTCAGCAGGCTGTGGGCCATATAGTCACGGCACACGGGTGAGACCACTGCTCTAAAGGCACCCTACATGCAGTGTACAAAAACAAGATCTCTGGTTAAGTAGATATCTGTTTGAGATGCTCATACAGAAAGTACAGTGGATGGGATGCTCTCTCAGATGGGGCTCAGTGATCCAGGATGCTCTCTCATACAGAGCTCAGCGGCCCGGGATGCTCCTACGCAGAGCTCAGCGGCCCGGGATTCTGGTTAAGTAGATATCTGTTTGAGATGCTCATACAGAAAGTACAGTGGATGGGATGCTCTCTCAGATGGGGCTCAGTGATCCAGGATGCTCTCTCAGACAGAGCTCAGCGGCCCGGGATGCTCCTACGCAGAGCTCAGCGGCCCGGGATGCTCCTACGCAGAGCTCAGCGGCCCGGGATGCTCCTACGCAGAGCTCAGCGTCCCGGGATGCTCCTACGCAGAGCTCAGCGGCCCGGGTTGCTCCTACGCAGAGCTCAGCGGCCTGGGTTGCTCTCACATAGAGCTCAGTGGCCCGGGATGCTCTCACGTAGAGCTCAGTGGCCCGGGATGCTCATAAACACAGCTCAGCGGTCCTGGATGTGCCTACACAGAGCTCAGCGGTCCTGGATGTGCCTACACAGAGCTCAGCTTTGAGAGATACTCTATCACAAAGATTGCAGTGGAATACTGCTACTAAAAAAATAAAAAAAAGATTATTTGTTATGCAACCTCATTTCATTGACATATATAAATATAAAGTACAGTAATTTATAGAAGTTTATACATAGGACCAAAGGGGCACAACTAAAAAGGAAGGAGCCGCACAAGGGTCACAGTGGCACAATTTTCAGCTCTGCTAGTTGACATAAAGACTTGTACAGATTCTACATTGACTTCAGTAAACTTAGTCACTACACATCTGTCTTTCCTCTGCTTGCTCAATAACAAATGATCAGGAGGGAGGGCAGTATTTGAAAACCCTCAGCAGTTCAGCTGCCAGACTCTGCCACAACCAACATGGCCGCAGTGCTGACAGGCAGTGACGTCATCGACCCTGCGACTAGCCGGAAGCAGCCGACGGTTCTACACGTGAGCCGTGTGCTGTACATGGTGGAGGTGAGTAGATGATCGGTGGTGGAGGAGTGAGGATTTGTATTCGATCTCATGTGGGAGGGCTCCATCGAGTTCTTTGTTGGCTATTGGGGGGGATTTTATTATTATATCAGAGTGCTGTCATTGCTCAGCCCGTGTTTTCATGTAGTCATGCCTGTCCCTGGTTTCAAGCAATGGTGGCAGGCTGTTCTAAAATGCAAAAACATTTCCCCATTCCTTTGTATTTTCTGCCTTACTGTCCACCCATAATAAAAATCAGTAATTAGGTATTTGTATGAATTCTATACAAGCTGCTAGAAATATATATTTGTCTTTTTTCCCTTATTTGTCTTTATAGTGGATCTCCAAACTATACTAAACTAAAGTTTTTATTACTGTCTCTGCCTCTACTGAATAAATCGAAGTGTGGGAGCACCATATGTAAACAGTGGTAAGACAAAGGGGTGTAGCATTCAGTAAACTATTTGTAGCACTTTTCTGGTGGTGTGGCCCCTTTAAATATGTCTGAATTCTATAATAATAGAAAGAATAGTATGCCAGTTTTGTTAAGAATTCCGTCACCTGCGACAGATTCAGGTCGTTCTTAATTGTGACACTTTCACCATGTGTGGCTATGACTGTGATAGGTACAAAAATAATTACTTTCAGTTCGTAGAAAAGGAAATTGAAGGTAATTAAGACTAATTGTAACCTGGCATAGAGCAACAGACCAGTTTTCAGTGTGCTGCTGCGGGACATGTTTGCTATGCTCTTTACTATATAGCGGCAGAGCAGCTCTGCGCAGAAAATTGGTTGCTAGGATGCAGTCAGATGCTGGCGTCCTACCACTCAATGATTTAGAGAGTAGAAGATAGTCATAAATCATAGTGTTCATTTATTAATATATAGTGTCACATATAACAGAATGCCAACGTATGTAGTCCTGATGAAGGGACTCTGCGTGGCCCTGAAATGTTGGCATTCTGATATATGTGACGCTATATATCAAATGAATACTACGATTTGAAACTATATCTTTGGAGTGCTGGTGATTTTCTATTCTTTGAAGCTTGAACACAAACACAGCGCGATCCATGTGTTCACTACAAGCACTACATCTCTTACTAGTTGCAGATGCTGAATGGACTGCAGGGGAAACATCTGTATACTACCGCTCAAAGAGACATCCCCAGCCCCATTCAGCTGCTGGCCAGGAGATTCCACAGCTGACATTTGAATGTAAACAAAGGGAAGGGGATGCTGGCCATTTTTGATAAATGATGTAATCACATTCCCCCCCCCCCCTTGTTTACATTCCACGGTCAGCTGGAGAATCACCTGGCTGGCAGCAGAGTGGGGCAGGGGATGCTTTATTGGATGCTAGGATGTTGTCTGCTGCATAGCTGGCAGCTTCCTAGCAACCAATGATGCTGTGCAGCTCGGGGACTAAAAACATGGGCTGGGGGGGGCGGTGGTAGAGGTTGATTTGTGGGGGTAATTCCATTCTCTCACAGTTTCTGGGAAAGCGGGATTACCCTTTAAGTAAACTAACAGTAAATCATATCAATCTCATGTTGGATTAATTTGTGCGGATTCTGGTGCCTCTTTGTGTCTAATTCATGTACATGTTTCTGACATGTACAGGAATCTGCCACACTCACTGGCATTTGTCGCATGTTGGCGAGAAACTCGTTCTATATTGCAGGGCTTGTCTTCAGATTGTTTACTATTATCACTTCTACACTTAAAGCCACAAAGACCTTTCATCAGTGAGGACAGACCCGCTCTCCCAACTTACTGAGATGAGAAAATGAAAAAATTATACCACCGACTATGCAGGCACTGGGCACAATTCTGCCATGCATGAACAGGGATATCTGCCATTGCTAATTTTTAAAGGTGAACTCTGGCAACAGAAGCTTTCATTGAAATGTATTCCTGGGTAGCCACTTTATACAGTCGTGGCCAAAAATATTTGCACCCCTGTATTTCTGTCAGATAATGCACCGCTTCGCGCAGAAAATTGTTGCAATTACAAATGTTTTGGCATTCTCATGTCTATTTATTTTCTTTGTATTGGTATGAAAAAAAAAAATTGGAGAAAAAAAAAGCCAAATCTGACAAATTCCACACAAAACTCCAAAAATGGACTGGACAAAATGATTGGCACCTTCTCCAAATTGCAAGAAATAATTGCATTCCAAGTTTTTGTGGAAAAGCATGGACAATCTCAAGGTTACAAGTCCATCTCCAGAGATCCTAATGTTCCTGTGTCCACTGTGCGCAACATTGTCAAGAAGTTTACAGCCCACGGCACTGTAGCTAATCTCCCTGGACGAAAGAGAACAACTGATCAAAGATTGCAACGAAGGATTGTTCGAATGGTGGATAAAGACGCTCCATCAACTTCCAGGCTCATTCAAGCTGACCTTCAGGCACAGGATACAACTGTGTCAGCTCGCACTATATGTCGTCATCTGAATGAAAAGGGACGCTATGGTAGGAGATCCATGAGGACCCCCCTGCTGACACAGAAACATAAAAAAGCCAGATTGGAGTTTGCCAAAACTTACCTGAGGAACCCAAAATCCTTTTGAGAGAATGTGCTGTGGACAGATGAAACAAAATGACAGCTTTTTGGTGCAGCCCATCATTCTACTGTTCTCAGAAAAACAAATGAGGCCTTTAAAGAAAAAAATACAGTCTGTACAGTTACACATGGTGGAGGTTCACTGATGTTTCGGGGTTGCTTTGCTGCTTCAGGCACTGGATGTCTTGACTGTGTGCATGGCATTATGAAATCTGAAGACTACCAAAGAATTCTGGGGTGGAATGTAGGGCCCAGTGTCAGAAAGTTGGGTCTCTGTCAGAGGTCATGGGTCTTACAGCAGGACAATGACCCAAAACACACGTCAAGATGTACCCAGAAATGGTTTCAGACAAAGCGCTGGAGAGTACTGGACTGACCAGCAATGAGTCCAGATCTGAATCTCATAGAGCGCCTGTGGAGAGATCTCAAAACAGCAGTTGGGAAAAGGAACCCTTCCAATCTGAGAGACCTGGAGCAGTTGGCGAAAGAAGAGTGGTCCAAAATTCCTGTAGAGAGGTGTAAGAAACTCATTGATGGTTACAGGAACTGATTGATTTCAGTTATTTTTTCCAAGGGATGTGCTACCAAATATTTATGGAGGGTGCCAATAATTTTGTCCAGTCCGTTTTTGGAGTTTTGTGTGGAATGTGTCAGATTTGGCTTTCTTTTTTTCTCCAGTTTTTTTTGTCATTCCAATAATAAAAAAAAGAAATAAACATGAGAATGCTGAAACATTTGTATTTGCAGCAATGTGGTGTATTATCTGACAGAAATGCAGGGGTGCCAATATTCTGGGCCATGACTGTATAAATCCACTTTATGTGCACTAAATGCCTTTGCAGAGGCAATTATTACCTTGTTATAGAACCAGTTACATCATCACTGTGCTGTACATAGCCGGAGCAGAGCTGGAGGGACCTGGCAAACCAACCCACTACCGGATGGGGCGGAGACAAGACCAGTCACCCTACAAGAGAAGCATTGACCGGTCTTTATTACAGTTTCATACTGGAATGCTGCACAGATCTGGAGGAAACACACAAAGCAAACCAAGATCTACATACTTGACCTACTTGAGCACAGCAGCTGGCTGTATTTCTTCTTAATTGTAGGTATTGCGCGGATTATTTGTTGTTAGTTGTGACTCTTATGCAGGAGATCAGCGATATAACAATAAATGTAATAAAATAGAGATGCGTATTTGATGTCCTGACTTCTGACATGCACATAGGTCAGTGAGCAGTGAAGGAAGGATGAAGATGACAGCCTCAGAATATGCATGTAAAGTCAGTCACAGCAGCTAACATATTTTGACAGGGTCCTTTTTCAGGATTACTCATGGACCGCAGACTGATTTTATTTTTCTAAGCTACACCATTTTTCTCCTCTAGGCACTGACCAAATAAAGAAGATCATAACAGACTTCCATCTCCAACAATGGGTAAAAAAGGGAAAGTAGGAAAAAGCCGAAAGGATAAATTCTATCATCTGGCTAAAGAGACAGGTAAGCGGCACCACACATTGTTTAAACGTTTTTTTGGTATCGAGTACCAGTACCAATATTTTGCTTTCAATACTGGTGCTTCCGCTGGCATTGAGCTGGCTTCCTGGGCAATCAGAAAGCCGGGCAGAGGGTAATGACATGCAGCCTGGCTTCCTGCTGGCCCAGGAAGCCTGTTCCCATGTTGTTTGGCCGGCTCCATTGTGATTGGCAGGGAAACCCGCTTCCCAGCCAATCAGCATTATGCCGGCTTTCCGGCCCATCAGGAAGCTGGGAGGCGGGTCATTACTTGATTACTTCCTGATTGCCCGGGAAGCCGGCTTGATGTTCCCCTACGACACTGCCAGTCAGAGGAAATCTTCCTGTGACCGGAAGTTTCAGTGTCGGACATATGTATCGGAGCATTTGGGCGATTACGAGAATGGTTAAAACTCCTATCCGGTAATTTTTTTTTGTGTGTCCTACTGGGGAGATTTCCTTTCATTTCCTGTCCCTTGGATGCAACAGGAAATGAGAAGAGATCTCCCCAAAGTGAGGATAATTCCCTTTTTAGATATTTGTCAGTGATACGTGTGTCCCCATTGGATGTCTTTCCCTCTACTCTCGTTCTTCTGACAACTCTACCAACTTGGATTTCCCATCAATTGTCTCGGTGACTGGTTCCCAAGACAAAGAAGTCAGATCTTGCCACTGGGGACAGTAAAAACTTAACGGAGGGCCTAACCTAGCTTTTCTCCACCTTTTACCCCAGGAACCCTTGAAATAATTTTGGGGTCTAGGGGAACCTTTTCCAAAAACATTAGTGGTTAGTGGGCAGAATGTGCTTTATGTTGGTGGTCAATGGGAAGAATGCTCTATACCAGTGGTGGCGAACCTTGGCACTCCAGCTGTGCCAAAACTACAAATCCCAAGATGCATCTGCCTCTGGGACTTATGTCTGTGGCTGTCAGAGCCTTGCAATGCCTCATGGGACTTGTAGTTCCAAAACAGCTGGAGTGCCAAGGTTCGCCATCACTGCTCTATACATTGATGGTCAGTGCTGGGAAGAATGCCACTTACATTGGTGGTCAGTGAGAAGAATGCTCCTTACATTGGTGGTCAGTGAGAAGAATGTTCCTTACGTTGGTGGTTAATGGGAAGAATTCTCCACACATTGGTGGTCATTGGGAAAAATGCTCTGTACATTGGTGGTCATTGGGAAAAATGCTCTGTACATTGGTGGTCAGTGGGGGGAAAAAAGGCTTTTTACATTGATGGTCAGTGAGAACAATGCACCTTACATTGATGGTGAATGGTAAGAATGCTCTCTACATTGGTGGTTGGTGGGAAGAATGCTCTTTTATATTCATGGTCAGTGGAAAGAATGTCCCTTACGTTGATGGTCAGCGGGAAGAATGCTCAGTGAAGTGTTCCAGGGCCGAACCTGGGGGGGGTATGTGCCATGGGTGCTGCTTTAGAAGGGGTGCCACTGGGTGTGTGGATAGAGAACTTCTCCCTTGGGGAGGGGGGGGTGGGGGAGCAACTCTGAGCCTTTGCCCTGGGTGACGGAATATCTAGCTAGCTAGCTTCCCCACTGGGTGGCAGATCCAACCAGAGGGTGACATCTGCAGTAAGAATTCTTGGTGTATGTAATACGTGTTGGCTATGGCGTGGATGTGAGAGGAGGGCTGATTTTGCAATAATATATATATATTTGCTTTATTCTTTAGCTTTAGCAGTCATCTCAGCCCATCTGAGGGTTTCTTTAAATATTATACTTAATCATTTTTTTTTAGGGTATCGTTCCCGTTCGGCCTTTAAACTCATTCAGCTGAACAGAAAGTTTCAGTTCTTGCAGCGAGCTCGAGCACTTGTCGACCTTTGTGCTGCTCCAGGAGGATGGTAAGTGAAATTGTTATGCGTCCGGATGGAGGGAGGCAGATTGGGTGGTCGCATACTTCATGTTGTTTAAAGCCTACTTGTACCGTCCAGAAAATGAACAGTGCAATTCAAGATTCTGAAAGCGCCAACAATTTAGGCAGTGATTTATATAATTGTACATTCACATCAGTCCCTGCCCTTAAGAAGCTTACAGTCTAAGTCCAAAATCCAGTCTAAGGTCCCTACACATACACACATGGGCCAATTCAGACAGGAGCCTACCAGTATGTCTTTGGAGTGTGTAAGGAAACTGCAGTACCCAGAGTAACCCCAGACAAGCATAGGGAGCACATGCAAAATCCATTTGGTTAGTGTCCCGGCCAGGATTGAAATTGGGGACTGTGTGCAAGTCTTGCTACATTGGTTCAACACATTCTAATGGCAGAGAAACAAACTGGTTTTTACCTTTTACTCTGAATATATCACTCTTTCCAGACTTGTTGGGGGGTTATAGTTTAAAGCCTAATCATGTGCTGGGTATCCTTCCCCCGCAGCATCCTTTTAATGTGATCTGTCCTTGACTGTGATTACCTGTGAGTAGGGACAGATGATCACCCCGACTTGCATCCAGGTCATTGCTCCATGTGCGATTATGTCCGAAGACTGGTAGATAGTTCCGGATGGTTGTAGCTGCTCTCACCCTGTCATTGCTTTGCACAGGCTCAGCTGCAGCAACTATCCATATCCAGCTGCAGGAATATGCCGGTTTCTTGCCGCAGCTGGACTATTTCGACATGTGAATGAGGCCTAAGTGACAGCGGGGGACAGGTTTCTCAGTCAAGCATCAGGACTCACTACTGTCATTGATAATATGCAGGCATTGTCCCACACACAGCTTCAGGCATTGGAAGCTTCACAGGTAGCAGCCAGACACCTTGCCTCTCAGGCATCAAAAGTACACGTGGGCATCAAAAGGTGGTGCACACAGGGGGTTGGCATCAAAGGGTGGTGCACACAGTGGGTTGGCATCAAAGAGTGGTGCACACAGGGGGTTGGCATCAAAGGGTGGTGCACACAGTGGGTTGGCATCAAAGAGTGGTGCACACAGGGGGTTGGCATCAAAGGGTGGTGCACACAGGTGGTTGAAACAGGTGATATATCGGCATTTTTACCTCCCTCTTACCTACAAATTAACATGCAGCCGCTCTGATCCATACACATGGCCATGATTCTTTGCTTTGTAGTGCGTCATAATTTAATCCGGCATGTCACAATTGGAATTGGTTCCACTTGCCAAACATGCAAATTGAAATCAATGGGACCGCGCTGCAACCACGGGTTGTCTCATTTGGTTGCTGCTCAGTATTTCAATGTAAAATCCCCCTTGGGATTAGAATAAAAAAACAAGCCTTCAGGAGGCAGAAGTATCGCCTCCTGAACACCTGCAAAACTACCACTCAACCGCTGGGGCAGTAAATAGGGATGAGCTCAGGTTCAGAATGGATTTGGTCTGAACTTGAAGGAACCTTCTTCTGCTGCCACCCAATCAGCTGGGGAATTCCTCACTCAGAACTGCATATAAGCAAATGGACCGGGTGCTGGGATGTTATTGACCTTTAATGGTCACATGTCTATAGTTGGTCAATGCCGATGATCTTACATGGTCACATGGCTATATTTTGGTCATTGACTTTGACCTTTCATGGTCACATGGCTATAATTGGCCAATGAAGTTGATCTTACATGGCCACATATTTGGTCAATGAAATAGGGCCATGTGGCCATAGAAGGTCATTGATGTCAGGACAAGAATCCTGCCCCTTTGTTCAGGTACAGCTGCCGAGCATGGACCCTTCCGGGTTTGGAGAACCTCATTCTTAAGGATGAAGTCCGATGCTTGTGGGAACAGGGCCTATGACAAATATAGTTTGTAATTCTTTCTCTTTATATTTTAGGCTCCAGGTTGCTTCAAAGTTTATGCCGGTATCCAGTCTTATCATAGGTAAGTAAAACAACTGTGTTCTTTAACTTCTTAAAGTGTAATATATACCCAACATTTTTTATTTAGTTTGGGATGGAGTAAGGAAGGGTTAAAACCCCTGTCAATTTATTTAATGTCATTGTTTGGGGGATTTTCCTTCACTTCCTGTCCTGTACGGGGAATTCCCCTCTTAGGTGTCTACAGAACCTGTGTCCCTATTGGAAGACAGTAGTCAGCAGTGTATATAGGGGGATGAATTACCCCAGCAGGGACAGAGACAGCAATACCTATACTATTCAAAAGTAGTGTACATACACATTCAAGGGACCACATCAATATAGAAATATAGGAACTACTGTATTTTTGCTGACTTGTTCAGTTCATCTTTACAGCACATTTTCTACATCCTCCCCCCTCCAATGCATTACAGTGTTCCCTGCACTTTGCAGACTGCTGCTTTTAAGGTGATTTGTCTCCAGTCCATACCTGTAGGTATGTCTAAAAAGAAAACAAAAACCTAGGGGGGCATATCCCCCCACCCCCACATTAGCAGTTTGTCCCCAGTGGGAGCTTTGGCTTGTTCAGGCAGGTCAATCTCTCTTCCCCGAGCTCAGCCGGTGCTACAGAGGGAGACAAAGCGCACCTCACATGCACATTGTTTGAACTAGCCATAGTGGCCGCTGGGGGCACACTACTAATATTTTCATCACCTTGTTTCATAGTTGGAATGGCATACTTCCCCTGGTTTGAGCCAAACAAGTCTACTGTAACTATGGCAACGGTATCTTTGATCAGTCCACAGTTCATTCTTTTACAAGGCTTAGTCTTTGCTTTAACCGCTTAATGACCGGCGTGTTAAAACTATGGGGTAAGTGTTTTTCCCCATAGTTCTAAGGGTCACGAGAGGACATAAACTAGCGCCCTGCCGTGACCCAAAGCTCAGTATATCGCGAGCTACAGTTCGCGGTATACTGATACCAGTATACTGATACATTACTGTCGAGATCCACCCAGCTGCGTGATTGACAGCGGTACTTTGACTGACATTTATTCCGTCATGCAACGCTGTCCCGAAATTAATGTGATATCATTTTTGGGGACAGATAGAGCTTTCTTTTGGTGGTATTTAATCACCACTGCGGTCTTTATTTTTTTACTATATAAAGAAAAAAGTACCAAAAAGTTTGAAAAAAAAAACAACTTTGCTACCTTATGTTATAAAACAATTATTATTAGGGTAAAATATAAAAGGTGGGGTCACGTCGGGTAAATAGACACCAAACATGTCAAGCCTTAAAATTGTGTGCGCCCGCGAAACCACAGAAAACTACCGTACCCTGTATTTGGCCATCGGCGACGCTTTAAAAGCTTTTACTAATCAGTGTAGTGTTATCAGCAGAGAGTAAATGTGACCCAGGAGAGGGTGAGATCTGAGACACACAGGACAAGGGTGAGAGAAGGTCTACAGAAAGGTGGCCATACACCTTACAACCATTGCACGACTTTCGTTGTGCGATGGTTGTAAGGTGATTAAAATTTCGTACGACCTGCCCATCATGGACAGGCAGATCGTACTTGCGATCATCGCAAGTCCTCCCCGCTGAGGGGAGGGCTTGCAGATGATTGCAATGGTGAGCGGGCAGTGTGCGCTTGCGCACCTCGGGCCATGTGACTTTCGTCTTGCGATCGCGCTACCAGCCCGCCGAAAATCGTACGACTGTACATTAAATGCGGTCACATGCAGCCCATACACCTTACGATTATCGTACGATCGCAGGATCACCCGCGATTATCATGCGATAATCGTCAGGTGTATGGGCAGCTGAACACAGCACCTGCAGGAGATTCTTCATAAAGGTGCCCATACACTTTACAACCCTCGCAAGACTTTTGTCTTGCGAGGGTTGTAAAGTAATTCAAAAATGTACGATCTGCCCATCTTGGCTGCAATGCTGAAGGGCGATCTGTACGATCTGCCCATCATGACTGCAATGCTGCGTGCGCACACCGGCCCATTCGGCAGTTGTCTCTCGATCATGTTAAAAACCAGCCGAAAATCATACGATTCTCGGCTGGTTTTCCAACATGCCCGAACTACAAAAGTCGTGCGACCGTACATTAGAAGCGGTCGCACGCCTTCCATACACTGCACGATTGCGGGATTTCCCGCGATTCTCATACGAGAATCGTGCAGTGTATGGGCACCTTAACACACAGCTGTGAGGAGATGTCCTGATACTCCTCTCTGCTCTCACCTCAGAGCTGAGTGTGTGCTCCTTCATGGGGAGGGGTGAGCAGAGAGGAATCAGCTGATTGCAGTTTACTGATAAGTAACCCAACCCCCTGAGAGACTATGTGGAGGGAATTTTGAATTTCTAGGTCTCTAGCCTGTGAAAGAGTCTATTAAAAAATAAAGTATGAATAACAGCCCTGTGACTCCTGACACACATATACATCCCCCCTGCACCTCTACATTACCACAAATCACTTACAAAGGTGGAAATGCCCTTTAACTTTATTGCTGAGAAGCCCCATATGTGATAGCAAATATACAGTGACGGGTCCTCTTTATCAGGGCTCTTTTAGACTCCTAATGTCATCTAAGGACCCCTAAAGAAGCTGATGAAGCACAGATCTGTTTCACTAGCTTCTCTCTGGCTACAGAAGCCGGAGAAATGACGGCTAAAGGCGTAAGTGATGATCACTTCCACATTCAGAGACCGAAGGAGAGATCAGCAGGAGATTGTGTGCTGAACTCCCTCCTATCTCCGTTCACAGAGCCGCCGTGCCGGACCTGCGCCAGCACGGGGCACAGCGGAGCCTGGGATAGGTGGAGGGGGGCACACACATGCCGTCTGTCTAAATTACAGCCGTTTTCCCACTTGTGCGTGCGCGGAACGGGAATCCAAATGTAATTTAAACGCGCACCTGCATTCATGAAGGTTCATTGATGAACCGTCCAGCCATATAGTTACAGCGGCCAGATGGAAAGTGGTTAATGTTCAATGGCAAACTGTAGTCTTGCTCTGATTTTTCTTTTTTGGCAGCAAAGACTTTTGCCTGGGGCACTTCCCATGCAGGTTCAATTGGTGCAATCTCTTTCTGATTGTAGGTGCATGTATTTTGACACCAACTGCAGCTCCCGCTTTGAAATTTTGGGGTCCATGGAGATTTCTTTTAGGCCCCGTTCCCACTGCGCGATATGCAAATTGCGCGTTTGTCGCGCGATTTGCATATTGCGCGACATCGCGAGATTTGCCGCGCGATGTCGCGTTCAAGCTTGCATTGAGCAAGCTTGAATCGCGGCTAAATCCGCTCCAAAAAGGGTCCTGCTGTAGCGACCCGCGACAGCAGGACCCTTTGCCCCATTGGATTGCATTGGAGCGCGATATCGCACGGTAATTTGCCGCGATATCGCGGGAATTACCGCGCGATAAATCGCTCAATGTGAACGGGGTCTTAGTGTTGGATGGTCATCTCAACTCCCAAGCGTGTGCTTTTTCACATGACTGTACTTAGCCTTCTTGCCTTTCAGCACCCAGAGCTAAAAGAAATACCCAGTTCTTTCATGTATGAAGGGGCATATGACTTACTCCATGTGACAGCACTTGGCCAATCGTTACTATGACATGGAGAGTCCATAGCCCTGTGTAGGAATCCCATAACTCGTAGCTTACCCAGAGGTATCCTATTAAGGTGGCCATATATTGTACAATTTTCCGTTTCTGGCACGAACCCTTGTTCGATTACCTAAATTCCCCATCAAGCAGAGTCAAATGTTGATTTTAGAAATTCATGGGATTTGACACCCATCATACCATAACAATAAACTTAAATAATAAAGTAAAACACAACAACGATTGTGGAATAACTATGTTTAACCTTTTATTACCAAACAGAACCACTGTTAACAATTAATAGACCACCATGCTTAGTCATCAAGACTCAAGCAGCAATAACTTACACCAACCAAATTACTGTTTACCAACCACTGTCCACCCACAAAGTGGGCGACATTACCCCATAAAGATTGACCGTGACAAGGGAAAGTGCAGCAAAGGGGAGGGTGGGCGGGAAGCAGGTGAAAAGATCCAAAAGGAATTGTGAAGATAATCAAGAGGCGAGTCCAGCTGGCAGTTCTGAGGTAAATGTTGACACTGTCCAGTGACAGGAGTGACTATAGAGGGGAAAGGTTACTCTCATTGGTCAGCTGTTTTCCCACCAAAAGTCTGTCAACAGTCCTGTTCTCTGACTGAAGGTCTGTCCAGCAGCTGAGGTAAATCTTCCTAGCGACAGCATGCAGCTTGTAACCTGAAAGACAAAGCAGAAAGAACCAGCAAAGCAGTCCCAGAGAGACATGTACATGACAGTCACGCCACACCTATATTTGAATATAAATAGTTTTAAAAACATGGGTGATAGGGGCGACAATCCCATGGGGCCACTTCTCTTATTTTCCTTCCGTGGCCCTAACATTAGCCATACTAAAGACCAATTTTTGACAGACAGAAATAATTTCCTTTTGCGCGTGTGCTGCGTTCTTGCAGAGATTTTTGATGAACGAATACTGCACTGATTCATCAATTTTTGTTTGTCAGAATAAAATCATTCCAACCTGACCGGACGAAAAATTTTGATAATATCAAAAATTTAAATCGGTGATGTACGATCAACTGTTCAATCCTCTACTTGAAACAGCGTGTGTGTGCGATTTCCGAATGGAAATCGATCAGTGTATAGGCACCTTAACTCTCAGCAGCTGAACAGGTCGGCGTGGTAAATAAAGGAAGGGACGTGTAAACTGATTATGTATACCTATTCATATGGGTTCATTTTTTTCTTTTTCTTTCCTTAAGGAGTTGATCTTGTGCCTATTAAACCCATTCCCAGTGTTGTGATTCTTCAGGAAGACATCACTAGCGAGTCCTGCCGACAGGTAAGTGAACTGGGACAGCATGACAAGCCCCCATCCAGGCCTCAGTCATCCCATCTTCATCAGTTCAATTTGTCCACACTGAACCTCTGCAATGAAGTGATCAACAGTATATGTCAACAGGGAAAGCAGCAGTTACTTCAAGCATTCAATCTCAAGTACTAATGGCCTCTCCAGTAGTGTGACAGCATTAGTAAAGAATAGGTTGTTTTTTATGATGAAACCTTTTGAAGGTGGACCTTTACCCCCTTTCTGCATACTGATGGGAAATAATATTATAGTAACAGAAAAAAATCAAATATATTTTCTGTGACTTAACTGGGGTTCCCACTTCCTGGTTTTCTTAAGCACTGGTGACATAGCCATGGCCTCACGTATGTCCTCCAGGAAGACAACATCACCAGTGCCTTCCAAGTCCTTACTGTGAGATCTTGGTTGGGGAAAAAAGAGACTTCCCCCGAGATGTAGGGCAAATGTTTTTGTCGATGCTTGCGATGTTGTATGACAACCCCATGCGTCGCTGCACCAAATCGGTCAAGCAAAGCAAACGACGCATGGGGTTTCTCAGCTGCCATTGGGATGTGCGGGATCCCTTGTGTGTTCCTATGCCTTTTAAGGAGGCCGGGCTTCCTCCTGACAAACCTGCACCCAATTTGAAATCTTCTGCCCCCATGTGCTCCAAGATGGAGACTCTCATAGTTTAGAGTTAGGACCGCACTATAAGAGGTGCCTTGGCGCGGCAGTGCGGCTTTCACATCCTCTGCAGAAGACGTGTATCCAAACCTCCTGTTATTATCCTTAGTGGTGAGACAAGTTGTTTTACATGCTGGTTTGTGAGTGTGCCATGTGTGAGGCCCTGTCTACAGGCACTGGTGATATAGTGGAGCGGGGGCGAGAGAGTCCTTTTTTTATCCCAGCACGTGTGAGACGAGGCGCATTATATGGCATGGGCATTGGGCTTCTTCCTTCTCTGTTGGCCCACCGATCATGTCTCATACCTAATCGTGTGCATGTGCCTTAATGGACTTTTTAAAAATAAATGGCGGCAGGAGTTTCTGAGACAGTGCCAAGACTGGAGAGGAGGCAGGTAAGTACTACTAACGTTATTAGTTTTAGGTAGTAGAATGTATTGAGGTTTTGTCATTAATTTTTTTAATTAAAAATACAATTTTAAATATTAAATTAAAAATATCCTGAATGTATTTTTTTTTATAATAAGCAGAGAAATGTACAAGTGCAAAGAAAATTCAGTTTTAGTTTGTTCAAATCTGAACTCCAGGCACAAAAATAATTTAAATACATCTCTCAATAGCCACAAAGGCTATAATTCCACTTTGTGTGCTCTGAATGAATTTACAAACCCAGGAATTACCCTGCAGTCTCCACCCACTACAGGTTGGCTGCCGAAAACTACAGGGGGCGGAGACAAGACCAGTCACCCTGCACAAGAATAAAGAGCAGCAGTGACCAGTCTTTATAACAGGAGGGGACGGAGACAAGACCAGTCACCCTGCTCAGAAAGAAAGAGCAGCAGTGACCAGTGTTTATTACAGGAGGGGACAGAGACAAGACCAGTCATCCTGCACAAGGAGAGAGAGCAGCAGTCACCAGTCTTTATTTCAGGAGGGGGTGGAGACGAGACCAGTCAACCTGCACAAGGAGAGAGAGCATCAGTGACTGGTTTTTATTACTGGAGGGGGTGGAGACAAGACCAGTTTCCCTGCACAAGAAGAAAGAGCAGCAGTGATCGGTCTTTATTACAGGAGGGAGCGGAGACCAGACCAGTCACCCTGCACAGGGAGAGAGCAGCAGTGACTGGTTTTTATTACAGGAGGGGGTGGGGACAAGACCAGTTTCCCTGCGCAAGGAGAGGGAGCAGCAGTGAGCGGTCTTTATTACTAGAAGTTCCTCTATTACTGGAATTCTGTACAGATCTGGAAGAAATACACAAAGCACCCCAAGATTTAAGTAAGAATACACATGACTTGTATTTAGACAATATTTGCTTATTTTGGAGTTCAGCTTTAACACGTATAATGTTTTATACTATTGTATAATAATAATTTTAACTACTCCAAATATTTTCTTTGTTATTTTCATCTGTTTATCCCGAGTGTCATTTATCCTGAATTTGACGGCTTGCATTGTCTGCTTACTTCTCATTCTCTCTACACCTATGTTCCCTGCAACTGTCATATGGCTGGTGTAGCATCTAGGATATAACGATGCTTCCTGATTTTATCTGGTATGAAAGGGTGTAAATTGCGGCTATAATAAGTTTAAATGTTCTTATTGTCTTCCTTTTAAAGTTAATAAAGAAGCAACTTCAGACATGGAAAGCTGATGTGGTATTAAATGACGGCGCACCGAATGTGGGAGCAAACTGGATCCATGACGCATTCTCACAAGGTTTGTCTCCATTTGTGTTGGCTTGTAGAATATTCACACAGGTAAAGAGCAGGTGAGCAAGGGACAAGTAGTCACCAGTATGGCCTGTAATCTCTCTGAAGATCTTTTCCTACTTACTGAATTGTCCTGCCTTCTGCAATGTTTCTCTGTGTGGAGGCGGCCATCTTGGTAGAGGCAGGACTTTGCTTTCTCATGTCAGAGCCAGGGAGAACCGTGAGAAGCACGATAATGACATGACTCCAAATCTCCTGAGATTAGCTGTCAGCTGCCTTGGATGATCTCACACTGCAGATATACAGCTATGAGGCTGTATGCACAGGAGTGTCTAAGGGCCCTCGCATACCAGGAAATGTCCTGCTATTGTTTCAGGAGGAATTCAAGACAAAAGATAGATTTAGAAATGTTTCCTATAACATAGCAAATCTTGACTTTATGTATACAGGTCCACTTTCACAAAATTCATGGCTGATAATGGCTCAGAAATCCTCCCTTTCATAGGTCTAGTACAGCTTCTCTCTACCAGGGTGCCGCCTGGCTTCCTTAGGGGTGCATTCAAACTTTGAAACAGCGTCTTGCATTTCAGTGGTGAATCAGGCAGACTGCATGCACAGTGGAAAAACGCATGGGGCTAATCCAAGGTGGGCAGGAAACATTCTGAAGGGCACAGAGGTTTGCCTCTGTCCAGACCTGCTCCACCTCTTGCCCTCTGCCATGCTGCAGCAGCTGGGTTCTAATATGTAGGGGGAAATGAGGAGTATTTTGATGTGAAGGCGGGGGG